TGTAGGCAGATGTCCGTGTGACAATTAGTTACCTGCGCCGCGTTCCTGGACGCCCAGTCATGGGCCCAGGCAAGAAAAAGTGTGGACGGGTCAGCTGCGATTGGGGGGCTTCTATTTATTGGTGTAATCTGGTACGTTCGGTGATCAGTTGGCTCCATGTCTTTGATTCCGGCGTATATTACCTACCTACCTAATACACACTCATGCTAACTAACATGTGTCCAGGACCCCGACCACGACAAGGTGCTTAATAGCTTTGGAGATATTGCCGACGGCGCTGAGGTTGTTGCAGACAGTTGTACGGAAGATGCCCCGGATACACATGGCCGGGCCTACCATCCCAAGGATGGCTGGATGGTTAAAGTGGGCGGGAGGTATTTTTCTTCGTGCCTGTAGAGACGGGTCTCTTGTACTTTCCAGGCAGCTAGGAGGGTAGTTTGTCTTAAAAAGGCATCGGGATTCACTAGAGCTATAATAGAGGAATATACCTCTAGGGAGCTAGTTCGATGGGTACATGCATGGTATAGGTTTAGTTTGCAAGAAGTAGCAAGGTTAAAGGAAGATACGGCGATAGAAAATCAACTGGGGCAGAGCAACCGTTGTTGAAGCTGAATTTCTATGTCAAGGCTCTTGCTAAGGTATGTACCAGATGTATAAAAAAAAGACGTGGAACACTCGGACAGTCCGGCAGATGTACTCGTTTGTGCTAGTACCACTTCTTACCCTAGAGGTATGCGATACAAGGTCAGATAATCATTCTCCTAGCAAGACGTGTAGTACAAAAAGGGTCTAGGGTACCTAAGAGAGAACGGGAAGAGGATCCTTCGCAAGGGCATTGGCATGCTTGCACAAAGGAAAACCACAGCTTACTGGCTCTGATGCGGAAAGAAGTGGTGTTTGCCTTTCAGTCTTGACATGTCAAGCTCACGGAAGGATTCCAACCATCTATGGAAGCTTGGAGGAGGTTGGACTCGTGTTCTGGGTGGAAACATTCATCAACTTGAAATGTCGAGCCGTAATGTTCCGTATAGGACGATTTGTCGTCGATGTTGGGCTGTGCCGGGGTATAGGCACATGCCACGGGACACTATCGTTGTTTCTGCTAGCGAACACACCATGCTTTCCCCACTCGTTACCTCTCTGTCTGGAGCCGTTTTGTTTACCTCTCTACTCCGGGCTCACCCCGTCGCGGCAGTCCCGACTGCTTCACTTTCGACTCGAGACAGTCCCATCCCTGGCTACAGTGTGGTGAAGCCTGTCTGGGCAGTTCAGACTGCTCCGGACGGTGCCACCGTCAACGTCACGGGCACCGTTCAAGATGTCATCCGGTACGCGGAGAAAGTTAACTCAAATTTTCGCTCCGACTTTGCCCTTGACCAAGGTAGCAAGGTTTCATCCCAGGCCGTACCCTTCAACAAAGGCCGAGGTGTCTATGTTTCATTGTGATTATGAGGTAGATGCCGAGATGGAGTGCTTGTTGAGGGTATCGAATATCTCCGGGCATTTCAGGGATTCAAATCCTTGGGCCCAGGTCCGAAAGAGTGTGCCGCGCTCAGCTGCTCAAGAGGCTCCGCGATTTATTGGTGTAATTATGTAAGTGATCCCCTTGGACAATTGCCACGCCGAAAATAATGATTCTTATCTGACACTCGTTTCGGCGGATTGAAGAGCTCCCGTGACAAGACACTTGACAGCTCTGTCAGCCTCGCGTCAGCCGCTCAACTCGTTGTCGACAGTTGCAAGACAAACGACGATTTCATCCACGGCGCGGTGTATTACACTGACCAGTGGAGTATCCATATTGGCACGTGGAACGGCACCTGCGACTGAGAGATACGTCTGCCTGTTCGTACTGGGCAACAAGAAAGGAGGTTTTGACACGGAGTGGAACATGAAGGGAAAGGGGTCCCCTGATATAGAGTGGTGGATATAGTCAACAAGAGGTGAAGGGGAAGGAAGAAAAGGCGCCGGAATATTTGCAAGCGGGAATCACTGTTGTTGAAGCAGAGCTTCGATGTCGAGGGCTTTTTGTTTGTCAGGCAGTGCTTGAACTCAAGAGACGAAATCGATCCCGCGAAAATTGCCGCAGTGGAAAACGAAGATTGAATAAGTTAACATGCCTTTATTTGATTCAGTGGTAGAACAATGTAAGGAGTGTTGAGCGGTTCAGTCCGGAGGGAAGTGTCTTTGAATTTTGAATTTCGCGGCCCCGCTGAACTGAACTTCACTTTGCCGACAAGCCTCCGGGTTTATGGACACCGCTTGAAACAGGGCATGTCTGAAGAACTGGATGGATAAGAAAATGAAGTAGAAGGATCGGAGTGTCCGTTTGATATAGTCGTGACTGGAATGGAACGATGACTCTGGTTTTGATGATGAAAATTGGCTGCTACGGGAAAATGTGCAATTCTGATGAAACAGCCGTGGCCATTATCCTCGTTCTCTGTGTTTTTTTTGTTGTTTTTTTTTTTGTGTTTTTGTGTTTGCGGTAATGAAGGCACCATCGGTTGACGCAAACAGTTCAAGTGACGGTCGAGGGAAAGAACAGTTTGAGGTTGAGAAGACAGTCAATCATCCGTCGCCTGTTCACCATGCCAGCCCTTTGTCAGTCACTGCCAGTAAGTTCTGGGCCAGAAAAGTGGTCCGTGCCAGGTGGCAGCTTGGCCAAGCTCTGGTCAATCAACCAAAGAATGTCAACAAGGTCCAAATCCTCACGTGACACAGCCACTGGACATTAGGTAAGCAGGACCAAGGTGGAGGCTGCTATCTCTGCACACGGGCTCCATCAACGGCGGGTCCGGGCCTTCCACCAAGGACGAGTTGCAAGAGGAGGATCCGGTTACAGCCAGGCTAGTAATGACATGACAGCGACCGCCGCCGCCGCCGTCCCCAGCCCACCAACCAACCCGTACACAACAACACAACACAAGCATCTTCACCCGAGTATATATTGACGGGCGCGACACCCAGCAAACACGGTTTTATCGGCCGAGTATCGACAATAAGCACGCATTGTGTACACAATCATTACTGTACGTTTTTTTGCATTTCCTTGTCCCTGTTAGCCCCTTTGCCCCCAGCCTGGATCCAGCCTTGGCCAAGATAGCCTCGAGTGGATGGGAGAGACTTGGTTGTTGGCAAGTCAGTGAGAGTGGAGGTGGAGGAACAAGCAGCACACCACACCACAGCCGGGTGCCACCCAGCCCATTCAGCCCGGCCACGGCATTGCTCCTATTCCCACCACCACCACCACCACCGTCACCCCGCTATACACCACCACCAGCCATCGAGTCTATCTCCAGTCTCTCTCTATCTTGGGTCAGCTGCCAGTGCGGCGCATTGCAATCTTATCTGATCTTGTTCTCCTTCTTGTCCCTCCCTGGCCTGTTCTTACCAAAAGACCAAGCTCCTCTTCCAGCCAAGGTGGTGCTATTCCTCTCTCATCCACCTCACCGCGCGTGATACATACCCCTTTGCTCACTATCAGTTGTGGTTCCATAACTAATTTTTTGCCTCGTCTGTTGCTCCCGTGCTTAGGCTTGTACATTCGAATCACTACATACGATTAGAAAACCGTTAAATTTGCGTCGACCGTCAAGCTCGCCTCCCCCTTCTCCCTTTCAAACACCCCTCTTCGGGAAGAACTGAACGGCACCCAACCGCACGGATCCCACCCGAATACCACTTACAAGCGACGACGTCACCTTTCTCTCCCCGAGACGATCGACGGTTCAGCGAACACTCACCGCGCTCGTCAAGCTATCCTCGCGGCACTCCACGTGCGGTCCCTTCCTTGTTGCGCTGCTACGACTACAGTATCAGCTCTTGCTCCCCCGCTGCCTGCTGTGCTGTTGCGCTGCTGTCGTTGCTGGATGGCCGTCTGATCGTCTGACACCATCCCCCATCACGGCAGACGCTTAGGACACTGCATCCATGCCCGAAGAAGAGACTGCTGTGCTCCATGCCAACTTTCCTTTTCCGCTTCCCGACAACATCGACTCCACGAACCTGGTCGACCTCGATAGCTGTTTCTCGCGCGACCCTCGCGCCCGACCCCACAACCACAACAGGCCTGCTCGCCATTCGTCGTCGCTAGATGGCAGATGGTCACCGCTATATGCAGCAGTCCTTCTCGACCCCTCTGCCCGCCCAGTTCGCCTCTAACAACAACATTGCGACGGGACTTCTCCTGAATTCCTTACTCAACCAGTTTATCGCCGACCCCTCCGCCGCCCAGCCAGCCACCGCCCAACAAGCCAACCCCGCCCACGGCCCTGCGAACCAAAACAACCGAGGCATGTACGGCCATAACCAGCCGCAGGGGCACAACCCCCGACTCAATGGCGCCGCCCCAGGCCGACAACCCAACATTCCCATGTACTTCAACCATGTACCACAGCAAGGTCATCCACACCAGGGGCACAATGCACACCACCAGGTCCTCCAGGCCGGCCATTCGGGGCACGGCGCCAGGAACGACCTGATGAGCCATTCGAACTTCTCAAGTGGCATCATGGCCAACGCGAGCCCTTACACCACCAATAACCTCCAGAACGGCCACTCGGTCGCCGCGAGGGGCGGTCCGGCCGAGCAGCCTGCCAACGAGCATTGGCAAAGACAAATGCGGCTAAAGGAAGAGTCGGACCGCGCACATTCTGCAATGACGGAGCAGCACCAACCTCACTACTACGCGCGGCTTAAGGCGCCCGAAAACAAGGGGATAGGAGGCGCCCTGACCGCGGGTGGCACAAACGCCTCT